GGCTCCCAGCCGATGTGCTTTGGCTTGAGCAGGTCCCAGCAGGGGGAAGCCTCGGCTTAGAGCCCTTTAACAGGGCACAAGTGGGGTGAATTCATGAGTTTGAGCTTATCCTCAGCTTTCCCTGAGCTGAAGATGCCCAACGCTGTAGAACGGTGGAAGCTGCGGTGTGTGAAGTCTGGGCAACTGAGGTAGATCCAGGGCCTGTCAAGAGGAAAGGTAGATGTCGCTGGCTGGAAACCGTCACCTGCCCCGTACTGACGTGCCCCTTGTTGTCATCTTCGCACAGGCCAGCAGAGCCAGCAGCAGAACAGCCATCCCGATTACAGCAAAGCGTGGGAGGAGTATTTCAAAAAACAGAGTGAGTGAAACAGGGTTATTGGAGATGAATCAGCTCTTGTTACAAACAGAGTTAACTCTAATCTGACAGCTCGCGCCTCCGTCCCAGGCCGTTATTAGCTTCCAGTCCTCTACAAACCCCCTTTGGTCCTCTCCGGCTGGTGATGGTGCTTGTGGTTCTGCTGAAAGCTCCGGGTTGTGCTGTCTGCTGTCGTGCCTCCGCAGGGGCGCTCCCCTTGAACCACAGCCCGCAGCAGAGCTCCTGTCCTCGCTTGCAGTCGTCCTGCCTGGGGAAACCCTGAGCGCAGCAAGAACTGATGCTGACAAAAAGCAGAAAGCTGGAGCTGGGTTGTTGAGCGGGTGGGAGAGCTCTACACCTGTGGGAGAACGTGGACCGTGGCTTTCTCTACTCTGTGAAGCGCATGATGCAGCTTCTGGGTTTGCTCTTGACATGGTGCTGCTGGAGCCTTCGGGCTGAGGAGGAAGGGCACAGGGTGTCGGGAACGGTCCCTTTACGCTTTGTGGTGCTGTGGGTTCGTCACTTGGGAGGCAGCTCAAAGTCTGCCCTGTGCCATCCGAACGGCAGAGCTGGTGTTGCTTTTCCCGATGTCTGCAGCTGTTGGAAGGGGCCTGGTTCGTTTCTAAGCTTTACAAAAGGAGATCCTAAGCCTAGGCTTGGTCTGACTGAATTGCTCATCTCTCCCTTTTCCATTTTTTTTTTTTTTTTCCCTCCAGGTCACGCTGCCAGTGCTGCTTCTCAGGCAAGTTCCCAGCCGGACTACACGATGGCTTGGGCAGAGTATTACAGACAGCAGGCTGCCTACTACGGGCAGACACTAGGACAGGCTCAGGCCCACAGCCAGGTCTGTATTTGTGTTCCCTGAACCCCGCTGCCCTTTCCCATGGGGAATTGGGTACACTGGTCTTCCCCTGGTGTGGAGACACTCTGCATTGGGTTTGTGTGGTGAAGCAGAGATGTTCCATTGACAGGGAAGTGATCTTACCCTCAGAGTCTTATTCCCCTGCACACAGGGTGAAGGGGTTTTGGAGAGAGGACCAGGCGGTTATTTGTTGCTCCTGGGAGTCTTTCCTTGTAATTCCCAGGCTGTTTTGTGGCTTTGGGGAATTAAATTAAAAGAATGACAGCCAGGCTGGCGAGGTAGCACGACAGTGGCACATGGAGCAGTCTGGGTCCGTGCTTGCAGGCTTTGCCTTTTCCCCCGCAAGCTTTGTGCCAGGGTAGGAGCTCACCTGGGGAGCGAGCGCCCCATTCTGAAAGGGAGCTGAAAACTGTTGAAAAATAATTTGGATTAGCCAGCTGCCAAGTAAAATCTCGCTTGCCTGTCGCTCAGCCCCGCCGGAAATCTCGCTTGCCTGTCGCTCAGCCCTGCCGGAGGGTTGTGTGAGGCTTACCCTGATCATACCCACCGGGCTCTCCGGAGCTTTGCAGAACGAGTGTCTTAGTGTTTGGGGACAAGCACGTGCAGAACACACGTACCCCCCCATGGGATCAGATGCTTCACCCCACCGAGCAGTGTTTTGGAGCCGGCACCGTCCTCCCTCCCCGGCACGGCCGAGGTCGAGCGGGGTGAGGAGCCGGGCGCAGGACTCGGCGCTTTGCCGCAGGCGCTGGCCAAGGGTGACCTAGAAGCGGTGATAAAAGGGCAGTTCTCGTCATCCCTCTCTCCAAGCCTGGCCCTCTGGAGAAGAGAGATGTTGTGCGGTCAGAGGCACGAGCTCCTGGCAGGAGAGCGCAGGGGCAGCGGGCGGTAGGGCAGGGATCTCTCCGGAGCATCGCTCGAGCTCTCGGTCCTGCTCGGCTCCAACGGAGACAGGGACCGGGGCTGTGTCGGGGGAGCAGAGCTCAACAGCCTTAAGAATTTGCTGCCGCCGAGTAACTTCTCCTTTTTTTCTCCTCTCTAGGAGCAGTAGAACAAGGTCCTCGTGGCAATTTTATTTTTTTTTTCCCTTGGAATCATTGTGGAAGAAAACCTTTTTGTAACAGAGGTTTCTAGATTTGCAACGTTTTGATGAAGACTTTTCTGTTTGTTTGTGAAACACTAGCTGTAGGATAATCTATACTGAACTTTTCTAAGAATCAGGAACAATTAGTAACGTACTAAACTTACGGACACGCTGGTAATTTTATTTCCAAATTTGTAAAAAAAAATAACAAAAAACAAAAACCAACAAAACAAACTCCGAGATTCTTTTTGGAGAGAAGCCAGAGAATTTACAGGCACCAAAATGCACCCCAGAGCTGTGACATTTCAACATGTGGGTTTTTGTGTGTTTTTTTTTTCTTTCCTTTTTAATTTTCGATCTTTTCTGTTGCAACAGAAAGAGTGGCTTGGAAGTCTTAGGTGGTATGTAACAAATCCTAAAAAGAAAAAAAAAAAATTTAAACAGTATTTAAATATTCTTAAATATGTAAATTCATTAAATGTTTTACTTCTAATTTCTTGTATCTTGGCTGTCTTTTGATTTTATTGCATTTTTTAAAAACTGAAGTATGATATGTATTGTAATTAATTATGTGAATTCTGTATTAAGACAGTTACTGTTTTGCTGTCAGGCAAGTTACGGGCGGGGGGCATTTTGTAGGGTTTGTATAATTTCTAGAGTCTAAAGGGGTAATATAAAAACGTGTTAATTTTTTAGCAATACATTTTTTCATGTCTCCATTGCTAGTTGCATTTATGTATCTAAGACCTCCAAGCTTGTTTAAAAAAAAAAAAAAAAACAAGACAAAAAAAAAGAAGAAAAAAACTTTCCTCTATGCTCTCAGAAATATAAATACTGTTATTTTTAATATTAAAATGAATCTGCTATTAGTACCTTTAACAAACACTGTGGAACATAAAACCATATAAAAGGTAGTAACTATTTTTTAATTCCAAGGTGTTTTTTGCTTTTTCATTTCTTTTAAATATTTTCTTATCTAATATTTGTCAAATTACCTAGAGAAATAAATGAATCTAGTATTAACCACAGTATGCGCTAAATAATTTTGATTTAATAAAAGGGATAATATGATTTCCAATGTTTACTGTAGTGTTTCTTGTACAGATAACCGTGTATTTTTAAAGGAAAAACGGAATTGAAGCTATTTTTTCTTGCATTTTTAATTGCCCTGCGGGACATTCCGTTTTGAAATGTACTGAAGTTACTGTTCTTGGGTTCTTTCCTTATTTTTCCTTATGCTTTAAATGTCTAACTATAAAGATACGCAATCAGATAATGTTGAGCATGGTGTTTTAAAAAAAAAAAACAACAAAACAACAAAAACAGAACAACAAAGTGTTCTTTTTATTTGACTGACAGTTGCATTTTACACTCTATATAATAAAATTTCCACAAGGTGTCTTGTGGGTGAAGTATTTCCAGTCTGGTCGACTCCTTTCGCTCCCTCTCCCATCGCCGACCCCCGGCTCCTCGCGCCTTCGTGTTCCCGCTGTCGCCCGGGTGCTTTGGGACGCTCGGCGAGGTGACCTCAAGCCTTAATTCTAGGGAAACTCTGATAAACGCCAGGTCCCGGCGTCTCCGCGCGCAGTGACACCAAGGACTGTCGCAGCAAGAGCACTTTTAATAAAGGGCAGCTTCTCTGAGCCGGAGGAGGGGGATGGATCAGCCGTGTGACCGCTCTGTCGCTTGTCAAGGAGGCAGCGGCTCCTGAGTTTAATGCTCTGAGCTTGTTGCTCTTCCACAACTTTGTTTTTGCGGCTGAATCTCCCCGGGACGTGGACCCTCCCTGCAAGCTGGGGCGCTGGAGCGGCACTGGCCCGGGGCGGGACAAGGACGAGGGTCTGGCCGTCCGCATCTCTCGGGTACGTTAAGGAGCGCTCTGACCTGCGGGTTGTGGTGACGCCAGGTTTGGGGATAACTCTTGATGTCCCTTTGGAGCTGCCTTTCTTGTAAAATGTGAATTTTCTGCCTAAAATAGCTCCGTCCGCCGGTCGCCAGCCGGCTGTAGGGGCTTACAGATGGGGGCAGGGAGGGAAGAACCCATCTGCGAAGGCGGGAGCGGGAGGCATGTTGAGAGCCGGAAGAAAAGGAGATGTAGCATCTCTAAATATACCTCCAGAGAATCAAGAGAGACGTTGAAAGATGGGATAGTAAAAGCCACTTGGAAAGAGGGGAGAGAGGGGAAAAAATGGCTAGAGGAGGGCATAAAGGCTGCTGATGGGAATTGGGAGCCGGCATTACCGAGAAGACTTCCTTCTAATTCATCTTCCAAGCTCTGTGCCAAAACAGCATTTGGCATGGTTCACAGGGAGCAATTGTGTGATAATGAACCCTAAGGTGTCCCTTAATTGAAGACTGAGTATTACAGATTGTGCCAATAGTCGTAAATGGCACAGGATTGTGGGAGGATGCATTTTCTTAAATGTATCTGTAAGTACAGATGAGCGAGTCTCCCCAGTGAAATACCCGTACTATAAATTATGGAAATATCTCTTTCTGATGCAACCTTTTATTGAGGGGGTGGGGCAGCGAGAGAAATAGTTTGCAAGCCTTTGAAATTTGGCCTGTCATTAAGATGGTGCCTGCAAAGCTGGGTTTTCATCAGCAGTCTGGTGTCCTGGAAAGCTAAAGTGCTTGAAACGTTCCCAAGTTCAGCAATTTGTTTTCCATTATTGCTGCCTGCTCGGGCCGGAGGGGCTGCAACCATTAAACTTCTTTCTGTTGGGAGTCCACGATGGGCTGGAGAGGGGCCGGGTGGGAGGTGAAGGGGCACCTTGGCACCTCACGAGGGGCTGTAGACCTATAGGTTCCTCCAAACCCCGCTCCAGCCTTGCTGCCGTCCTGCTTTCTGGCTCTCCCAGGGGCTGGTGAGATGCTCGGTCCCACCGTGGGGCTGGCCAGGGCACCTCACATTCCACTTCGGGGTCTGCAGCAGCTCCTCGTGTCTCCTGGCTCCACGCGTTGTGCAGCCCAGAAGCCGCCGTGGTACCTTCAAGCCAAGTGTGTGGTGTCTGAGGGGAACTCGGCCTCCTGCGCAGCTCTGGGCGAGTTTAATCCCCAAAGCGAGCGGATTAAGCGCCGACTGCTTTGGTTTTTTGGGGCAGGGAGGGTTTCCCTGCCCCTCGGGCAGAAACCAGGTGCTGGAAGGAGCAGGGCAGGTCCCCAAGATGCTGCACAGGAGCCAGGACATGGGCCGTGTTGGGGGTTTGGGGTCTGTGAGTGACCCTGGGGACCAGGCTGGCTGTTAATCCCAGGGGACAGCAAGGAGCTCCCACAAGGAGACCTTCAGCTGGGGAATGTTCCACCTCTGGAGAGCGGCGTTTAGGGATGGAGGAACCAAGTTAAAGCCACCCCAGGTGAGTGCCCCAACAGGTCCCCAGCCCTGGCTTATCGGCTCTTACTCTTTCCTGTCTTCTATGAATAACGTTCCTTCCTTCAAGCACCTTCCCGAGGCCTCACCTCAGACAGGCGGCAGCTTCACCACCCGCCCGGCAGGAACCCATCACCACCCGGCTCAGCGGCGCATCTTACGTGGGAGGACGCGGTCGTCTCGGCGCTGTGTCCTGTGGGTCTGCCCGAGCTGTGCCGCCCCACTCTTTGGGCACAGATACTTATTTCTAAGTACAAATTCATCATGGTCTTTCTGCAAACCATTTCTGAGCAGCAGCCTGAAAAAGCACGTTGCCAAAACGTCTTGTTGGGTTCATGATGACCCCGATGCTCTCCTGCGCTCTGTACCAGGTGTGCCTGAACAGACAAAGGCTCTTTGGGGAGCAGAGAGGAGACTTCACAGTAGTCTAAAATGCTTTCTTTTATTTTGCATGATTTGAGAACAAACTATTACAGCCACCGTGAGTTAAAACAAAATTATTACTGAAAGAGACAAGCAGGCGTACAACTTCTTTTTTTTTTTTTTAATTTCCCCAAGTGTTAAATATTTAATTACATTAGAGCAACAGCGTATTTACAATAAGCTGGGTGGGTGATGGGTGGCCTGGTGGGAGGGAGAGCTCATGGTTATTAACGTGAAGCTTTTTGATATGATGAGGATGTTCGTAAGGTCCCACCTGTGCTTCTGCTTCTCCTGCAAACCCACTTGGTTCATCTCGCTCTCGGGGGGATTTTGAGGCTGTTGGTGCTTGCAGGTTTGTAAACACCGGCTGAGGAATTGGGATCCGACGGTGAAAAGTTATTCCTGTGCAGATGAATGTGTCGGTGAGTCCTGTCAAGCAGCACAGGGATGTTTTATTCCACGTAAGGAACTGTTTAGCCTTCATTTGGCTCATACGGAGGTTTTTTTCCCCTGGATTTGCTGTGAGCAGCAGCAGTGCAGGGTGCCCGTTGCAGATGGGGCATTTCCCTGCCTGCTTGGGGCTCAAAGACATGCAAAGAGAATTTTCCACAACTTTTCGTGCTGGAAATCAGCAGAAACCAGTTATGTGACATGAAGATGAGTTGAAGGAGACGCAGCTCCCTGGTCCATCGGTGAGGGGAGGCAGCAGCCCCGGAGCGAGAGCAGCAGTGAGCGGGCACTGAGCCCCCACCCTTGTCTCAGGGGTGAAGGGGGATGGCGGAGAGGGAGCAGCCACCCCTGGGACAGAGGGGACGGAGCAACAGGTGCCCAGGTCACCCTGTCACCTCCCTCCAGATCTTGGGCACCGGGTTCAGGGCAGGTGACCCAAAAGAGCATCTCAAGGGTTGACATGGGGGCAGGTGCCAACAGCTCCCCCCCGGTTATCTTTCCACTCTGCCCCTTATCACTTGAGGAAATCCTATTTCAGGGCCGCTAGAAAGAAGCCTCTGATCTTTGCAGAGGCCAGCTCACTCCCCTTTAATCCCGGCCGGGCCGGGGTGCAGGTGCCACCATCCCAGGGGATTAAACAGTCCCTTCCCTTTGTGCGAGCAATCACTCACTGGCGGC